TGGTTGTAAAGTGAATCTGGCTTCCCCAGTCAGAAGGTCACAAAAGGGGACCCCAGGACACTGCCACTGTCATAAATACAAGTTGGTGGCCAAGCATCTGAATTTTGATCACACGACCATGGGGATGCGGCACAGGTGGTCACTGTGAAAATCAGTCATAAGTTGGGTGTTTTTTTTCAGTGCCGTTGTTAACTTTGAATGGTCACTAAGTGTTCGGTTGTAACTGGAGGACTATCTGAAATCTTATCAACCCAGGGATAGGGTTAGCATGGAGGGATTGATATTGAAAGTAAAAGATAAAGGAGATACAGAGTACTATTCAACGTGGAATAGGTTTTGTCAAGCCCAGGAGTGGGGCTCCGTTGGCTGTGGAAGAAACTGGGGAAGGGCAAAGACAGGCTGGGCAGAGCAGAGGAGAGGGAGAACAAGGGAGAGGGAGTTCCGAGGAAGATCCAGGCCCACCCCCTCTTATCCTAGGGCATGCAGGGAGGAACGGAGAAGGGAGCAACATGAGTTGCATGGCTTATGGGGGAGGAAATGGCCCTGATTACCTTCATTAGCTGCAGTTGGGAACACAGTGTTTAAAAAGGGAGTTTGCGCACAGTAAGTTGTTGGGAGCAAACGTGATTTTATCTTGCATTGTCATGGCTTATCTGGGTTCCTGGCGTCTTCCCAATGTGTGTGAGTTTCGCCGTTACTTTCAAGTCTGAAATCCCTTCTCCTGCCCTGTCAAGCTAATTGCTTCAGTTTGGTTTGTTTGGATTTTAAGTTGCAGTTTGTGTGTATCTTCTTTTGCACTTTATTTTCTACTGTCAAAGGCTGTTCCTGGGAGAGTTTTTCTCCAGCCAAAGGTAACCTGGACGTCGGGGGCAAAGTTGGAGATAACAAAGAGACTCTTCTTGCTTATTTGACGGTGTTGCCTTTGTGCCCCTTTGGGTCATCACAAGTTTTATCAACGGAGAAAAGAGGTAGAAATTAGATGAAGAAAGATTATTGTTCTGTATAAGTAAAATATGAATTGTTTACAATAATAAGCATGCTTAGTACAATTAATATGGTTATAAACAAGCTAATATAATTACAAATACTGTTCTAATTGCTATATGTATTATTACTATCAGTATATCTGTTATTTCCTTCTTTTGTAAAATGAAATGCCTGAACAATGAACTGTCTTCAATATATTTATATCCTAACTCGATCCCCGTGCTTCGCTACGAAACTATGTGGTCGGGCTTAGTTTTTGGGGAGGAAAATAAGGGGAGAAAAATTCTGCCTCTGCCTGCCAGCATCCATCGGAATTCATCTGGCTGGCGTCCTGTCAGTGAGTGAGAGAGTTGAGGGCTGTTTGGAAACTAAAGCAGTATTTGCTGTGTGAGCAAGAAGGAGACAGCAAGGAGCCTGGGCGTGGCTTAGCTCAACTGTTCTGTACTAAAGCTGCTTGGTGCTGTGAAACTGAAACTCCCCCGCTTGTGTTTTGCATTTGGAAGAGATTTCTTTTCAGGTGAGGAGTAGAACTCTTTAGCATCAGAGCATGTTAATAATAATAATATAGGAAATACTCTAAATGCTTTGATGGGTCATTTGGAAAAATCCTTTCCCAAGTGAGCACCTAGAAGCCAAGAGGAACATAGGGGCCAGATTTCAAGTTTGTAGGCTTTATGGTTCTGGAGATTTTGTGATGATGCGTGAGGGGTATTTCGCTTTTATATATCTAGATAAAAGATAAATAAAAGCCTTGATTTAAAAAAGAAGAAGAAGGCAAGTGCCTAGAAGTGATGAGTCCACACTTCTGACCAAGCCAGAGACGAGACGCAGAAGGCCAGACCTCGGAAGCCTCTCCATCAGAATAGAACTGGAAGGGACCTTCGAGGTCTTCTAGTCCAACCCCCTGCTCTATAGCAGGAATTTCAGACAAACGACTGCCCAGTCTCCTTAAAAAAAACAAAACTAAAAACTCCAGTGTTGGAGCGTTCCCCATTTTGGGGGGTCCTTGCAGACTTGACTACCGGAGGAAGCCCAGAAACACACACACACACACACCCCAATTTACCTGAAGCTCAGCCAAAGCCAGAGAGAGGGGTGGGTGCTGGAGAAGAGGGGAGCCATCCCTGGGAGTGGTCTTTTTTTTTAAATGGGGTGGGTGGGTGGGAGGCAGAGGGAAGGCGGACGCGCAATGAAAGAGGTGCAGCGTAATTGTTCTGACAACCGGGAGAAATCCACGTTTCGCCTCGCAAAAACGGGCTGGCCGGCAGCCAGAGGTTAGCAAGCATCATCTGCTGTTCCAGGGCCGCTTGGAAACCAAGCAAAATGGGGGGGGGGGGGGAAAGTCTGTGTGTGTGTGTGTGTGTGTGTGTAATCCAGATGTTGCAGGCATTGGCTACAGGTGGTGGTGGTCCTTGACTTGCAACAGTTCACTTCGGGTCCAAAGTCACTTAGGCCCCGAAATAAAGTCACTTCTCGGGTGCTTTTTCACGCTTAACGACCGCCTGCAGCCTTCCCCGGGGTCAGGTGATCCAAATTCAGAGCCTTGGGAACGGACTCACGTTTTATGACGGTCGCAGTGTCTCGGGGGGGAGGGGGGGAAGCACGTGGACCCATTTTGGGACCTTCTTGACCAAGCAGTGGGGGAAGCCAGGTTCACTGGATGAGTGTGGGGCTAACTTGGACAGTTCACAGGGATTTCTCTTAAACCATTAGGGGCAGAATGTGAGTCAGCTGGAACAAAGCTCACTTAACCGCTGTCTCGTTTAGCGGTAGAACTTTGGGTCCGTGGTGGTCGTAAGTCACGGTCTACCTATACGTCTAGGGCAGAGGTCTCCAACCTTGGCCACTTTTAAGACTTGTGGATTTCAACTCCTAGAATTCTCCAAGTCTTAAAAGTGGCCAGGTTTGGGGGGGGGCCCTGGTCTAGGGCGATGTTTCCCCTCCCCCCCCAATCTTGGTGACTTCAAGATGCACGGCGCTTCAAGTCCCAGCCAGCAAGGTTGAAAAAAAAAACCAACCCTGCTTAGAAGAACGTGTGGTTGGAGTCCTTTTCAGATTTGGGGGGTGTTGTTTGCAAAGGTCTCTTCTTCTCTCTCCCCCCCCCCCTTTGCTTTCTAATAAAAAGCCTCAGCTCATCAAACAGGCAAAAGCCACCAACGGGCCAAGTTAATTACCATAATTAAAATTAAA